TATATATATATGTATATGTATATATATATGTATATGTATATATATATGTATATGTATATATATATGTATATATATACATATATATAATGTATATATGACGGGAGCCATTTTGGATTTTGACACCAATCCAATTTTTGAAAGGAACCTTTCTTTTGTCTAGATGCAGCCATTCACCAAAATAGAAGTTGGTACCTGACTTCTTTTTCAAGTTATCCTGCTCACAACATGCACGGACGGCAGGAGGGTATTTCCAGTTCCCTCTTTGCTCTGCGACGGCAGACAAACTCAGAGAATGGTCTGCGGCTGACCAGAAGATAAGCAGAATGACACGTGTGGCTTGTTTTCAGCATCCTGTCTGTGTTTGAGGAGGGTCAGACTGATTAATTCTTGAGGCAGTGTCAACAGATGATGAACATTACTCAGTGGTATTTTGGTGACATGGATCTGTGTTTGTTGTATCAGATCGTCAGAATGAGTCCTCGCTGCGCAGCCCACGTGGACACTGCCTCATTATATCTTCATGTTGTTAGACCCAGGCCAGATTCTTTATTTTCAAAGTGGGCATTTAGCCAAAAGACTTGGTTTATTGAATGCACAGACATGATTGTGGTGATTTTGGCTTTTCTTAGCAAATTAAGTTGCAATTGGGTCACATGAAGTCTTGCACATGAAGTCACCCCTTTTTAGACTGAAAGCATCTTTGCATCGCAAAAAATGTACAAGATATGTTGAAAGCCCCCACGTAATCAATGTTTCAAAGATTAGAGCATATTTGCCTTTATTTTAATAATGAAAATCACATTTCATTTGCAGTGCAATAGGTATTAAAATAGTTGCAATCTGCTCTCAGCTCCACATATTTTGGGTGATTCCACAGCTTTAAGCACATGCAGTTCATGAAAGATTCAGGACTAACAAATTAAGTGCAGAGACACTTTTTTTATTCACTTCTGAGGTTTTTATAGGTTACTTATAATAAAGAGTTGGACATTTTACCAAGACCTTTCTGTCTGTTATACAGTTAAAGGCATCGAAAGTCTAGAGTTTTGTAGGCGAGGTACAGGTGACCAGTATGAAGCAATATGCAGTACAACACCAGTTTTTAATAAAATTATGTTTAACACTGTTTAATAAATCTCCCACATAAAGAAAAACTATACTGTATACATACGCATGACAAGACACATCATTATGTTCATGACAGGACACCAGATTATTTGAAATAATTTAGCTTTACAAGCAAAATCAGATCATTTTTTGGCGGCTGTGGCTAAGTGGTTAGAGCAGTCGTCCTCCAATGGGAGAGTTGGGGGTTCAATTTCACCAGCAGTCACATGCTGAAGTGTCCCTGGGCAAGACACTGAACCCCTCATTGCCTCCGATGTGTCCCATCAGTGTATGAATGTGATGAAGCTCTGATTAGTCTTTGTACAGATCTAGTATAGAGCTGTATGAACGGGTAAATGAGGCACAGATTGTTGTGAAGAGCTTTGAGTGGTTTGATAAGGTAGAAAGGAGCTGTATAGGGACAGTCCATTTATCATTTAGTTTTTTGTTTGTTTGTTTGTTTCCTTCCCAGTTCAAGAAACTAAAGGACCTCTATATTTCAGCTTGTATATGCAGGTGGAGCTGCAGACTTATAGTTCAGCAGTATTGGCCTCCTGGCCACCTGAGGTCTCAGTTGGAGGAGTTCAAATATCTTTGGAGTTTTGTTCTAGGGTGCATTCACACCAGCTCTGTTTAGTCCGCTTTAATTGAACTCTAGTTCGTTTTCCTAGAAAGTCCGGTTCGTTTGGGGAGGTGTGAATGCTCCATCGAACTCTGTCACGGAACAAAAAGGTGAACTCTGGCCCGGGCTAAAACCTAGGTCTCGGTCCGGTAGAAGAGAACTCCAGCACGGTTCGTGTACAGTGTGAATGTAAACAGACCGGGCCCCGCTCCACAAGCAGGAAGTGGAGTACAGCACAGGGTAAACAAACACGCATTTCTCTGACCTCATATGGAGCCGTCAGCTGCCTTGTGTGGAAAACAACATTCTCCATGGTCTTCTGTCTCATCTTCTGCTCATGCTGAGTCCATTGTTGAAAAATGACAACATATAACTCCTAAAACTGATAAAACTTGACGCCACTTCGTTTTTATTTTTTTTTACAGAAGAAGAAGAAACCAACATCTTCTCTTGGTTGCAGGTTCCTCAACAAGAGTTTGATTGGTCTCATTTGACATTCTCTGTTGCACTTTTGACTTCATAATCAAAGATTACTGAAAAAAATTCATGTGATAAAAGTATTTTACATTTAAAATAACATCTTGGGGGCCAGATAAGATGTCAACGAGGACCTCTTTTGACCCTCGGGCCTTGAGTTAGACACACATGCTCTAGAAGGACACTATTACATTAAATAAGAAACAATTATGCCATTTATAAATTGATTTCTATTTGTTTA